GCAAGCATCATTTCTTCAGGAAACATGCATGTAATCCAAAGCACTTGGAAATCTAAGCAAATTTCCCAATAGGAAATAGTGGAAATTCAGACGATTAGTTCCACAACACAGAATACAATACAAAAGTGATTAAAATATTGTAATATAATGCAAAACAATAAAGAAAATACAAAATATAAATAAAAATAAAACTAATCTGCACTTACTTTGAAAACTTTGGCTGGTGTGAGGGAAAAAAAATCAATGTAAAGATTTCTATGTAATCATGTAATATCACTTATTTATAATTTAAAAATTCTGCTTTGAAATGTTAAATATTGAATTGTTAACTGGAAAGAAACAGTCATCGATCTTATCTAAATAAAAACAATCTTAATTTAATAGAATTGTTAGATATCTGAGGGACAGAATTTAATTTTCAACAGATCATTTGGGCAAATTGATGGTTCATATCAATTTAAGTCATTGATTTGTTCCAAACACAGAAATAAAATTTATCTACATTAAGTCAATGTGCCACCTGCATTGATATACAGGTACATGTTACACCCAGACTGACTGATAGAAAGACAATATGCAGATTCTGTCAGGGATGTTTGGCACAGTGCTCACATAAATCAAGATCTATTTACCCAAAGGATAGAGAAAAGGAAGTTAGTTGATCAAGGGATCAAAGATAAATAGCTCAGTAATGACTAGGATTTTCTGGGACATATGGCATGGAGAGCTTCCTAATTCCTCACCTTGGGGCCGTCAGCTCAGATGAGCCCACTTTAGGGAATCAGGGTCACCACAATGAATGCAACAGGATTCTCGACTCAAGTGCAGCCCCACAGAAATAAAGATGGGATATTTCCACACTAAAGCTATTCAACATTTGTGCTGAGATCTCATCTTTAGTTTAGACATTATTCAATGCAGACAGACCATTTAATGGAAGAAACTCCCAGAAGATTTGGCAAATTATTTTTATGTACTATGTGTATAAACTTTCAAGAAAATAAGACTGATATTTAAAGGCACAGGTACTTTTGTAAAATTATATAACCAACAATAAAATCCTTGTATTTTTTCCCTTTACCTTTCTGGTCAAAGCAACCCAATCTAAATGTTCTCTAAGGACTTAGAGCAATGTAAATAGAACAAGGATCATTAGATAGTCAACACAGTCCAGTTACAACAAGGGAGTAATAAAAAACTCCCTTAGTGGCTTCTTACAAAAGAGCTGTTTTTTCTTTGTGATTACTTTCCTTCACTTGCACTCATTCCTCAGTACAGTGCTGACAGAGGTTCTCTCTTCAGCAAAATCATTCTGAAATTCAAACTGCTTCTATCTAGAGACCTTTCCATTCCCTAGAGTCTTATAATCTAGTTAATGAAGAAAAGCCCAGCAAGTAGAAAGCAGAGGTGATCATCACACAGGAAGTCTTATTTGGGGCATCCTAAAAGTGTCGTCTGTTATTCTTCATCCTCCAATGGGCCATGTTTCTGGCCTGAATTTAGTCACGCAAAGCCATCTGACTCCATAGGGTTGGAGAACAGTCTATTTGATGTTTCTTGAAAGAAAGAGCAACATGTCACTTGCCACATTGGAACTGGTACAGGCTAAAGCCTCAGACATCCCTGGGAATGAAGAAAATGTTAGAAGAGACACAGAGTCAATCTTTTAGAAGTAATACATAAATATGAAAACATATCTGCTGCTAATGCAATTAGTATGCTACTATATCTGCTACTAATGAAATTTCTCAAATCATAGGGTGAATATGGTCATTGTTAAATTACCAGGCATTTTCATAATATTTATGTATATTGTCTTCCTTATTTTATTCTATGATCTCAGTTATTTTGCTGATTTTATTGATACCCATTTTTGAAGAGGTTAAAACAATTTGTCTAAAAATATAAAATTTTTAAGATCATGGATTCTCCAAAATATAAGGGGGAAAGCCCATGAAAAGCAGCGAGAGGGAGAGGGAGAGAGAAGGAAATTTGAGAACAGCAAATCAACCAATGGATATATTGGTAATATTTGAATTTAGGCTGTTCTAGGAGATTAGCAAGAAAGAGATGAGAGGGGTGAGAAAAGGTGCACATACTTATCTTTGCCTTAAGCTTTTGTACATCAGGCTAAATGACAGGCATATATATGTGACTCATCAAGATGTGATATGCAGGATAATAAAAAAATAGATGTCAGTACTTACATCCGTTAAGCCTGCAGATATGTTAGATTTCAAGGTAAAAAATATTTCTGTTTCCACTGGAATTAAGGTTGCTACTTTTGTGGTTAATTTTACAGATAACTCAGACAGGCCAGGGACCCAGATATTTAGTCAAACATGAGTCTGCATGTTCTCTGAAGGCATTTTTTAGATGCAGTTATATCTGCACACATTGAGGAAAGCTGATAACTTCACGTAATGTAAGTGATACTTATGAAATCAGTTGAAGGCCTTTACTAAGAAAAGGTCACAGTCCCCAGAAAAAGAGAGAATTTTGCCCTCGGGCTGTTCTCAGACTGGAAACACAGCATCAACTCTTGCTGGGGTTTTCAGATCATTGGCCTGGCCTGCAGATTTCAGATTTGTTAGCCTCCACAGGATATGGAATAATTCCTTCAACTTAATTCCTCCCGTTACTGCACACATCCTACTTGTTATGTTTATCCAGTAAACCATAATTAATACAGTAATCTGTTTGTTTTAAAACTAGGGAAATTATTGCAAATTATCTGGATGTTATAAATATAATCACAAGGGTCTTTAAAAATGGAAGTAGTGAGAGTTGAAGGGAACTGTGAGTCCAGGAGATGAATCAAGATGTAAAAAAGAACCAATCTAACCTTTCTGTCCTTGGAAACAAGAGTAGTAATCCAAAAGCCAAGTATCTCTCTAGAAGATAGAAAAAAATAAAAATTCATATTTTCTTGTAGGACTTCCAGAAAAGCAAACAATACACAGACAAAACTAACTTGTGATACCTTAGATCATGTTGGTATTTGTTTTCTTTTTATTGAGTTTATTGGTACAATCCAAGTATACAGTACAGTTACATTCATTATTGGGGTCTTGTACCTTTACATAATAGGTCTTGATTCTCATTTTTTCCCCTTGTCCCTGCCCTCCCTTCACCCTCTCCTCCCCTCCCCATTTACAAACACTTTATTTCCATTTTTTCAATTTCTCATATTTTTCCTCTCCCTTATTACCTTTCTCCACCCTTCCCACTTTCCCTACACCTTTAGCTCTTTACTTCCTATTTCACATTATTAACTATCTCATTAGGATCCTGTGTACTATTATATTCACACCAGAGAAACTATTCGGTATTTCAGTTAAAGAGATCTCTGTATGAACATTAAAAATAGGGAATCCTAAAATAAAACTAAAAAGGAAAGTAAAGGAGAAAAGGCAAAGATGTAAGATTAAAATAATCCTTAATTCTGGAGATGAAAATGGTCCCTTAACATATTTAAATTGCTTCTTGTTCTTGTAGTCTTATCTTATTTTTTTTCATTATTTAGAGAATACTTTATTATTCTGTAATCAAATCCATGTAGATATGACCTTACATATTTAGTATGATGTGTTCCCCTGTACAAATGGAAAAAAAAAATACCATTTCTAGACCAATATGGCTGTTCATTTCTGTACAATGCCAACTCAAAACAGTAAATTGGGATAACTTTTTCAAAAGTTGACAGCACCGTTAAAGTTTCCCAAAATTCAAATTATATGTATATATATATCTATATCTATAGATATAGATATAAATATAGATATTTATATTTATATAAAAAGACCAATAATAGCAGTACATTATGCATCAATAGCAGCAACAGCTTTTTCAGGTTCTGCAGTCATCTGAACAAAATTATAGACATTCAACACATTGCATTAAAAAAAAAACCAAAGAAAATAATATCCAGAAAACAGCAAAATTCTGTTGCTGTTGTGGTACCTGGCACCATTTTTTTTTTATTAGCATCTTAATCATCATCTGGAAAGAGAACATTCTAGAGTAATATCATTAAATGTAGCTCTGATAAAGCACAGTCCCTACGATGTATCATAAAGCAGGTACAAGATATTTTACATTCATGGAGGTATGATACAGTACTGTCCTACATCAATAATACTAGAATCAGTTTTGGTTTGAAATTTGCTTTGTCTGCAAATAAGATTGCTATCCCTGCTTTTTTCTGGGCATGGTGGTATTTTTGTGGGGTTTTAATTTTTAGCATTATAGGAGAGTGAATTTGTGTTGTTTCAAGCCACTAAATTCATGGTTAATTCATCGAGGAGTGAATGAAAAGTAATATATTGCATTACTCATGTGTGAATGCAGAGGTGTTTTGCTATATCAGAAATACCTTCATTTAAAAAGAAAGTATAATTTCCAGATAGTATTTGAGTATATATATTATTGAGTGCTATGGGAGAATTAGAATGAAATATCTAGTGTGTTTTCCATTATTGGATTCCTCTTCATTTACTGCTAACAATCCAGCTGTGTCTGACGAAGTAGAATATGATTTTAAGGTGCCTTCTATCAAGCGACTCGATCATTTCACATCTTGTATTCTAGTAGACGTCAGTAATTACATTAAGGGCTATGTACTCCTGAACATGAGCGATCTAATCTGATGTATTTACACTGTGGCCAGGTAATTATGAAACCCTTGATCAGTGACAATGGACAGGGAGGAAGAACATAAAGAAGCTGTTATCGATTTTTAAGTGTGCATAGAAAGCCTTCCTGGTTCAATTACTACGGGGCTCACTTAGATTTTAGAGGCCTCATTCTTACAGGGCTGAGTAATCAGGAAAGAGAGGTCATTGAATTATTAAAAAATTAAAGATATATAGTAGTATCTGTACTTCAAATAATACAGGGATATTGCTTAAAAGAATTTTAGAATTTTATGCTCTGATTTTTGTGGTGTGCAGTTAAAATAAACCTAGAGTTTAATGGTGAAAATGTAAATTAATGCCCATCTGAGCAAGTTGGCACATCCCTATAATCATAACTGCTTAGGAGGGTGAGACAGGAAGAGTGCAAGTTTGAATCGTCTGGCAACCTAGCTACTTAGCCTGACCCTGTAAGTAAATACAGACGTACATACGCGCATGCATATGGAAAAGAAAAAAATGGAAGAAACCAAAGGTGGGGAGGCAGGCTGGGGATGGCGCTTTTTGTAAAATCTCCCAGTTCAATCTTTAGTACTGAAAAAAAAAGCTGAATATTATGGGAGAGGTTTGAGCAGAGAAAGTTGTCTTACTGTATTGTTATTGTACTGTTATTACTGAATTAACAACATCATGATAATTGTTCAAATGCCAGCTGTAATTTTAAAACTGATGTGCATGAAGAGTGCATATTTACTCTTGCATTGTAGGCATTGAACCTTGTTGGATCCGATTCTTTCTTTTCTTCATCCTTTTTTCCTCCTCTTTGTTCACCTGAGTTTAGTTTTTTGAGACAGGATCTCACTACCTAGTCCAGACCTGCTTGAATTTATGTACTGGAGACTGCCTTCGAAGACTCCATCATATGCTTTACATCCCCAATGCTAGGATTTCAGGTGTGTGCCCTTATGACCCACCAAACTTTGATTCTTGTGTCCTGACCTCTGAGCATGGCACTTTGCTTAGAGATTGACATGTATTATGATACTTGATTCTTGCTATAGACACCACAATAACCTTTTAATTTTTAAAGGAGAATTTTATCAGTAAATGCTGGCAATGCATAATGATTACATTCATTATGGGGAATTGGTCTGGGTACAGAAAACGTCTCAATTCCTTTTTCCTTCACCTTTCCTTTTTTATCCTCATTTTTAAAAAATACACAGTCTTGGTTGCATTTCTAAATCACTTTATAGTATGAATCACAGAGTTTAGATTTGAACTCAGATTCATTGATACCAATTGTTTGCTCTTTAGACGTTATGTTCTATTTAGCAGAGTCTAGATCTGTAGAAATTGTAGAAATGTATTTCAAGAAGAGGAAATGACTGTAAATGTCTTAGCTATAAGGAATGGCTTTAAAATTAAGGTGGACATTAGAGGATAACTCAGAGAAATGAAAGGAGATGAAATTAGAGAAATAAAAACACAAGAATTATTTTATGAAACCAGAAATTTGAATTGGGGGAGGCATTTTGAAAGTTCACCTACTGTACTGCATAGAAAAAAAAAAAAAGAAATAAGGAAGTACCAGAGTATGTGGAGCTACTGTAGAGATCATATAACAGTAATGTGACCTGATTGAAAGGCACTGCTGAACTATTTGGTGATAATCATGCAAGAGAAGTAAAGATTACAGATCCAATAAAGTAGAAAACATAGTTCTAATAGTCACTTGACAGTAACACATATTTGAAAATGTAAGGTCAAGGAAAGGGCAGAATTTGTCTTTCATGGAATAGTAATGGATAGAAGAGAAAGAATTCTGGGAGGAAAAGATGAAACACTGTTTCAAAACACCAAATTGAGCTACTTTTGTAAAATCCGAGAGAAGGAGATCTGTTGGTTGCGAGTGTAATCAAGAATCATGATTGTCCCTGCCTAGATTTAGAGATCTCAAGAGGATTAGTGAGGCACATTTCTGGGTATGCTAGGCACGTCCGTGGGGTGTTTTCAGAGAAATACACCCACTCGATGAGATGACACGTTGTATCCTGAGCGTCAGGCATGATCCAATCAGCTTGAAGCCCAGATGAGATTTGGCCCACCCTTATCAAGGCCCATTCTGCTTCAGTGAGTGTGCTCTTTGCTCCCGCCACCGCTGTGGATATCTGCCATGGTTCAGATTGAAAACGTCCCCCCAAATCCTCACATGTTCAGTGTGGGGCTTTGGGGAGGTGATTCGATAATTGGGACACTGTAGCTGCTTTGCTGTTAGGAGGCGGGGCCTGGTGGGTGGTGGGTCACTGGGTCAGGACCTCGAAGGCTGTGTTCTCGTCCCTGTCTCCTCCCTTTGCTCTCTGCTTTCTGGTTGCCATGGAATGAGCAGTCTTCCTCTTCATGGCGCTTCTACCACGCTATTTCTGCCTTGGAATCAGATGACAAGGAATAAGTACACTGAAACTATAAGACAAAATAAATCTGTCTTTAATTTGTGAGTGATGGGTATTGTGTGGTAGCCATGAGAAAAGTGCCTAAAACAACCAACTGTAGTTTATTCAGTCGTTCAACACAGATTCATTTCAGTAACTCTACAGGGACGCCTTCAGTCTCAGACTAGCACTGGATTTTTGATTCTTCTTCCTCTGAGGCTTCCAACCTCTTGAACTTAGTAGCTACTAGATCCTTTCTGTTCACCATTCAAATGGCCATTGTAACCGTTCCCACTGTTGCTGATCCTGTAAATGTACGAACAAACCCCTAGCATATCGATACAGTATCCCATAACATGTTCCATTAAGTTTATTTTTCTAGAGGACCCTAACCAGTGCAGAGGGATCCAAATGAGTAACTTAGCAGTATGTAGACTGTAAGTGGGGCAAGAGTTCAGATGAGAATACTCACGTTATATGAGTGAAGAGAAGAAGTGTCCTGAAAAGAGACTGTGAAAAAAGATAAACTGCTCAATGAAAATGAGAAAAAGAGCCCTGAGATAGAAAGCAAACTCCTATTTGAATCATTTGTGGCATCATAGATCAACCTGGAAGAAATTGTATTACGTAAAATAAGTCACAAATGCAACAATGACACGATCTCAAATAATACATCAGAATACGGAAGATTGGTCTAACACAACATAAACACAATGTGGTTTACAGAGACTGTGAGGAGTAGGGGGACGGCAAAGTGAAGACAGTGGTCAGTGGGTACTAAGTTATAATTAGCAAAAATGAGAAGCTCTTTTTTGCCATTTCATATTAGGGTGGATATAGGTAACATTAAATATTTCAAAAAGGTAGAATAAGGAATGTTGAACATTTCCTCTAAATCAAACAGCAAATATTTGAAGAGATAGGCATCTTTAATGTTAACATTATACAATGTATACAAGTAATGAAACATTGCATATTGCCCCATTAACATGTGCAATATTTTTAGGTATCAGTTAAAATATATATACATATATTTTTTGGTACCGGAGATTGAACTCAGGTCTTTGTGCTTGCAATGCAGGCGGCAGGACCACTGAGCTAAATCCCTGGCCCTAAAATATAAATTTGAATTAAAGAACATAAGAAATTTTGCTAGGGTACATAAAAGCAAAGGCTTGAAACTGCTCCAATTTATAACATTAGAGAAATTTCAATTTTTGATGTAATAATGAAACAGTCCAGTAGAAGAGACATTTGGAGAAAAAAGTTCAGAAACAAAAGCAAATATGAGATTAGAATACGAGGTAAGTATTTACTATAAGTATTTGTCATCCTTCTACCCTAAGAGTAAGTCTCAACAACACACATTAAAAATATATTAATCATAGGTGGCTTTCAAAGTAGGCCAATGGATTAACTTTTCCTTAAATATTATGTAAATAACATAGGATAATAAACACAAAGACCAAACACTTAAGACAAAATTCATGTAAAATCAATTAAAATAACTTTAAATATTGTTAATATTTCAAAAAGCTAAAAATAATTACTAAGTTCTACAGTTTGAGTATTCCTCAAGCTTAATTTCAAATTGAGTTTTACTTTGTGCAAGAGGTTTTTCTTAACCAGTTTCTCAATTGTCAAAAAGCCATCTAGAAAGTGAAGTCTACTTTATCACCTTGAGACAGCAGGTTTCAGAATTAGCAGAGTACTTACAGAAAAACGTCAGGATGAGAGGACACATTATGATTACGTTGATGAAATAGTGAGACTGCATTTTATGTATGTTTAAAAATGTATAAAACATAAAGATATAGGGGGAGTGGGAAGGGTAAGAGAAGGAAAAGAAAAAATACGAGAAAATGAAGAAATGGAAACAAAGTCTTTGCAAATAGGGAAGAGAGGAGGGGGTGAAGGCAGGGCAGGGGTATGGGGAAAAAATGAGAACCGAGACCTGTGATGTAAAGGTACAGCATCCCCATGATGAATTAACTGCACTGTGTACCTAAAATGTACCAATAAACTCAACGAGAATAGGTCTCGGGCAGGCTCCAGCCTCTGCCTGCAACTTTCTTCAGCAGTGCAAAAAGTAACCCTGCAGCAAATGCTTCAGACGGCATCCTGAAAAACTGAGGTATTGGATAAAAGGTTTTTTGTTTTTGTTTTTGTTTTTTCCTAGGAATAATGAGACCTGGAGCTTGTTTTCTACTTTCGTTGCCGTAAACCAAGGGGAATGAATGTACGTGGGACTGTGGTGACCACGGTAACTGAAAACATCACAACCAGCGCTGTGTGAGGCCTCCCTTTCCTCACATCCCCCGTGACACTCTTTCCTGACATTAACCATCTCTACTACGGTGAGATTTTGATTTTTATACTCTTGAAAATTAGTGATTCGGAGAATATTTCCAAATGCCTGCAAAAATTTGTGTGTCTTATTTTGCTAAATTTCTGTTAAATTTTTTGCTCCTTTTAAATTAAAATTTTCTGTATTTGTTATTGAGCTTTTCAGTTGTTTATGTATATTTTAAATTAACACCTCTTGAAATGAATATTTTACAGGTGCTTTCATCTATCACATAAGTTTTTACTTTACAGGTGATTTTCATTAACTTTGAGAAGTAACTGTATTTGTGTCTCTGTCCTTTTGGAGTCATATCTCGCAAAACTGTGCCCTGTCCAATATCTTGAAGTATTTCCCTTATGTTTCCTTCTAATTGTTGTAGAGTTTCAGTTTCTATATGTAAGTCTGTTATCCATCTGTAGTTCATTTTTATATATGGTGAAAGATTGGGTTCTAGCTTTATTCTTTTGCATCTGGTCATTCGATTTATCCAGCATCATTTACTGAAGGTATTTTCTCTAATTTGTGTTATTTTCATCATTGTTGAAAATCTGTTGGCTGTAGATGGGTGAATAAATTTAAATGTTGTATATTCTTTTCTAGTTTTATATATTTTAATTTTTATGCCAATTTAAAATTTTTGAATAGGTTTATAAAATTTGAAAATATATTTGTTCTTTCTTGTGTTTGTAGATCCTATTTCCTTAAAAACATTTGGAAATGTATTGTCATACCAATCAAACTAATAAATACAACCAAAATTAGATACCTTATTAATCAGTCAATAACATAGTTGAATTTCTCTGCCTTCATATTCTAGCTTCCTGTGCTTTATAATAATCAGATAACTAGAGGAAGTAACTTTAAACTTTTTGTCCAGGAGGCTCTCAAAATATTAGTAGCTTATCTGTAATGTATGTGTCCCAGTGATTACACACAATTCATTTCTAATTGATTGTGCTTTGAAAATGACTGCCTGTGATGCATATCCTGCCAGACTTGATGATAATCTTCTGGTTGGTTCCAGGAATATGATTGACTTTTTTTTTTTTTTTGTCTGTGGGGGGATCTCTCAACAGTTTGTTAAAAGTGCATCACTGACTTCAACACTGTCATAGCACCTACGGCCTCCACTATTTGTTCACTATGAAAGTGACTTCTTATATAATTGTGAATATGCAGTTTGCATTATGATTACAGAAAAATTCAGTTGTATGTCGGGACCATTACTAGGCTGCATTTATATCCAGACATATTGTTCATCTATAAAACACATGAAGAATGTTTTTGAGGACACATTTTGGACAACTAGCCAAAATATTCCCTAAAATGCTAAAGTTAAATAACGTAATTTTAAAGGTATTAAATTTTAAAAGTGTAGCAGCTTCATAAAAGAAGCGGGCACAATTTGTATCAGTTCTCATACTGTTTTCTCCAGAAGACTCACTGGCTTCTTTCTGACATAAAACTATCTAACACCGGGAGATACGGTTGGAAAGAGATTTGAAGAGCAAACGTCTCTCAGATGATATAACACTTCTTCAGTTTACAAGCGGTGCAGTCCTATTGAAATAGTGTTGATGTGGTGATTAAATTAAATGAGATTAAGCATATAAAGTGCATATACATAGTAAAGGCTTACTTAATGCTTGCTGTTAGTTATATTAATTGTGGCATTCCACCAGCTATAGGCAGGATTGCACAGGAGGAACACAACTGGATTGAAGTTGAAATGCAATAAACCAAAAATCTAGATCTTCCATTAACATGAAACTGTTAAGAGAGTCTAAGAAAGCAGCTAGGATCTTCTGGACTGCTTTTGTAAGTTTTTAGAAATACAAATCATTAGCATTTGTGTCAAGTTAAAATTTTCTTTTTATATTTCTCACTCCTAGTTATGATCATTAATTTTTAATGTGATTATATTTAGTTCTTCATTCCTCAAACCAGAAGCTGTGGATTACTTTTGCCCCCCCCAAAATTAATAGAGTTCAAATTTTTAAAACTTTATCTCTCTACTACCTGTTCACTCTGTATTAGAATAATAGAAAATTTTGATTTTATCAGAAAGATTCAAAATCTACTTATGTGCTGTATTTGCAGGGAACTAAGTTTTACCTAATAGAGGTCATATGGATTCTTCTTAAACTCTTGAACTTGCTTGTGATCAGGAACAATGGCTATTATGCTTTCAGTTTGTTCCAATAAACACCCCTGTAACTGGAACAGAAGACAGCTGAGTAGTATTTAGGAACTTAGCACAAACTTCCTTCCCCATTGCTATTTACTCTGTACAGAATAATCAGTTTTTCAGTTCTTCATATTTTCTCTATATTAGTGCCCTGTCTGAGGACTAGCTGGCAATATTTTCCATATTTTCCCCTTCTGTAAGATGTCTCTGTATGTTTTTAGGTGTTTCTTTTGCTCTGTAGATATTTTTTAATTTGTTATGGTATCATTTGTACATTGACTGTTGAATGTTCTTTCAGTGCCAACTTTGATTTTTTTATCTGTCCTGTCATGAATGACCCTTTGAGATTAGGTATGATGGTGTTACACATGAAACAATGACTCAATTTCAGTTGTGTTTTTATCTGTGCCAACAGAAAAATACTATTTTGAATGAACACCAAACATATTTAATGATATATCAATTTTTACCTTTAAAAATGACATAAAAGTGAAGTAGGAGTTAATAAATTTTAATTAGATGGAACTTCCCTAATTTTAGACCAGTTAGACAAAAGTAAAGATCAGTAAGCATGTCAAAAAAGCAGCAAACTTTGGCAATTTATGAGGTAATATTTGGATTTAAGTAAAGAAAACAATGACACTTTTATTATATTGTACAAAATACTATCAATATATATTTATGGTTTTGTCTAAAACATATTTCAAAATCCACAGGAAAAATACTGGTAATATATAGTTCTAGAGAAAGATGCTGTTGAACTGAAAAGCCAAAGGGTTTGATATATTTAATTTTAATGAAAAGAAAGAAAAAGGACTTAAAAAGACTAAGACTGTAATAGTGAGCAAAGAGTCCCTGTCACCATGGAAAGTTTTTAAACCTTATTGTAATGAGTTCCAATTTAAATTCTTGTATTTAAAAATTGCCATAGATTGCTCATACTGATAATGTATAAGAATACACACACACAATATATATATATATAGGTATATATATATACATACACGTATATGTATATATACCTATATATATAGTGTGAGATGAACAAATCAAATTCACATTGATATTGTTTCACGCATTTTTCAATGTGCTAAAATATTTTAAGTATACTCTCAGCAATTTTTGACAATGCAATACATTTTAATTAATGTCCATCACCCTTCTATGTAATGACCTCCAGAACCTTTTCTTCCTATGTAATTGTAATTTTCAAACCTTTCAGTCAATATCTTCTTATTTTGCTTTCCCCTCCAGCCTGCGGTAACTACCATTCAGATTTCTGCTTCCGTGAATTTGACGGTTGTTGTCTCCACATATAACTGACACCATGCAGTATCTTTCAGTCTCGCTTGTTTCACTTAGCATAATATTCTACAGATCCATCCATATTTTCTCAAATGATATAATTTCCTCATTTTTGACTGAAAGTTTTTTACCGTACATATAAACACTTTGACTTTATTCATCCAGTGACTGTGGCAGTATTTTTCCTGTGGATTTTGATCTATGTCTTGGAAATGGCTAGACATAGTGGTGCATGCCTATAATACCAGCACTCAGGGGCTGAGACAGGAAGGCCCTTGTTAGTTCAAGGCCAGTTTGAGTTCAAAGCTAGCCTAAAATACATAGTGTGACCCTTTTAAAAAAATTGAAAATTGGCACCAAATTCAATGATTTCAAATTCTCAGGCCCAGATCTTGAAATCACTCACTATCCACCTCTTTCTTTTACACATCGTTGTACTTGTGTGTGGTCTCAGCTATCTCTATCATACATATGGGGAAACTGAACACTTATCCCTAACCCATTCGAAGTCAGCCACACCTCTCACTCAAACTTCCTTAAAACAGTTCCTCTGCTATCACAATGCTGCCCTAACTAGATGATTCACACAGTAGACAAATTATATTATTAAGTGTGACAGATCATGTCACTCCTGACTCAGTTTCTTCCAAAGACTTCTCATATACTTTTGTCAGAAAGGCATGTACCCTTCTTAGTATGTTTGACTTCTCTGCACTGTTCTCCAACCACCCCTCTCAATGGGTAGGAAATAATCCTTCCCATGCCCCTCTGTCTGATGGGCACCAGCTCATGCTCTTTGTGTGATTCCTTGAGGACAGTGCCTATGTCCTCTTTTCCTACACAGTCCTTGCCCTGTGCCCGCACTGCTCACTGTAAATATAAACGACTTTGCATCTTCTTTCTATTCAGGCCTCTGCTCAAATGTTCAACAATCAAATAATGACCCTTCCTACATCACCTCCCACAGCTACATTTTATGTTTCCTTTATCCTACATTCAACTATTTGCTTTCAAAATAGTTTATATTTATTTTTCTCTGTGTTTCTCATTAAATTCTCATGAAAGCTTCTATTGCCTCATAATAAGGAACACTGAAAGTGAGTTCAACGTGATGATCCTTCACTTTTGTCTACCATTACAATCACCAACATAAAATATAATAAAGGAATATTTACTAACATAATTCATCATACACATCCACCCTGTTATGCATTTTTCACATTATGTTTTAATTTGCAATTGTTTCATATTTACTAAAATTTTACAATCATTTATTTGGCAAATTAACAAAATGAAAAAATTCAAGTTATAACTGTCCACCATATTTTGAATTGCGGAGTTTATCAGATATACATATATAACAGGTGTATAAACTGGTCTGATTGCAAATTCATTTCTCTATTTGTAAAATAGAGCAGAATATATTCTTAAATTTAACAGTAGAGAACTTTGAACATTGAAAATTAATCACTACCATGCATATTAAGTGCTTAGCATAGCACCTAGCAGAAAAATGT